CTGTATACTTCTTTGAAGTATTTCTTTTCTCTGTAGCAAATTGCTTTTTCTCTTTGTCCAAAGCCTTTTGCTTTAGATCGATGCTTTTAGATAGTTTCTGGAGCTGGCTCTGACAGTCTTCGGAGATGTCTGTCTTTTCTTTAGCATGTTTCTCCCTTTCCAAAACAATTAGCTGCTCAAAATCCGAGATTTGCTTTAGAAGCATCTTGGCGTTCAGCTCGAGAGAGTTAATCTTCTTCTCGTAAGATTCTCGTTCAACTTCAAACTTTCTTTCAACTTTGATTATTCTATTCTTTTCTATTTCCATCTCTTGCCTTTCATCAMTTMAAATCTTTTCAACTTGTGAAACCTTTTCCTTTTCTAATTCAAATAATCTTCTAAACTCAGTCAGCTCATTCTCAGTCTTGTGGAACTTATCAGTTAAGTCCTTTGTATCCGAATTGTTGCTTGGAGAATGCCTCTCAGCAATTAGTGCAGTCTTAACTAATTCAAGTTTAGTTGACAAATCAGCATTAGACGAGATCCACTTTTCCAATTCATCATTATAACTTTTCCGATCCAAACTCCAATTGTTTTCAACCGTTTCTATCTTATGTTCAAATTCCTTTACAATTCTWTCTATCTTTTCGTTATACCCTCGATGCAAAGATTCATTACATTTCTCATTAACATAMTTTTGAAGTTTATAGTTCTTTTCCAGCTCATCATACTTTGCTCGCAATTCTTGATTCTCTTTCAAAAGAATATCTGCCATTTTTAAAAATGATCAGTTAAGGATCTATGCAGTGAAATCAGATAAAAAAATACGAACAGTTAACCTCGAAAAGAACCGAAAAACACAAACACTGAAAAACTCACGCACAAACAAATGTACAATGATCCAAAGAAAAATCTAAACACAAACAATCCTAAGAAACTATAAACAGTCCAAAAAAAATATCCAWGTCCAAAAATATGAGTCTAAGTCCAAATCACACCGATCCAAGCCCAAATACAATACAGATATTACACTAAAAAAATGATCTATCTGCTCTCTGAAGTGTATTCAAAAATCCACTTGAATGCTGTGTGCTTCTGTRAAGTTGAACTTAGTCCCCGAAAGCAAAACCAAATCAAYAGTCTTTCAAATCTGTTAAACTGTCCAAAACCAATCCTAACTATGCTTGAAAAACTTTCTTTTCCGCTGTCGACTGCAGTCTTCACACCAACAGATTTTAACAGATTCCTGCACCAAAATTGACAGTCAAGTCTATACTAAGTAATTACAAAATCTCCATAGACAGCAGATTTAGACTACAAACATGCAACTGAATCAGTTCAATGAACAATTGATATATAAAACCTGTAGTTGTGAACCTGCTGTTTTTAAAACCTTTTAAACAGAAACCTGCTGTTTCTTTCTTCTTGTTGCTGACAAAACAGTTTTAAAACAGCAAGAATGTGTTACTGTTTTCTTAAAACTGCTGTTACTGTTGTTTGCTTAAAACTGCACACAAATGCTTTGTTGCTGCTTTTCTTGTTCACACCAACTTTTTGCTGCTGTTTTCTCCCTCTCCACACCAATACAGCACAGCTTTGCTGTTTTGATGCTTTTAAACTTGCTATGTTCTTCACAGACCTGCTACTGGCTGTCAAAAACAGACCTGCACTTGAGCGACAAACTGCACTTAAAGTGTCAATTACGCAATTAAGCAATTAAGAAATATGAACATGTCATCAAAGAACCAAGCTAAATCTGCTGTCAAGACTTGCAAGCTGTTGCTGCTGTTGTTCTGTGAAGCTATGCAGACAACTTCTATTACGAAATAGTTGCTGCTGTTTCAAACCAGCCAAGTGAAGATTTCAAATCGATCTGCTGTTTGCTGTTTTGTGTATGCTGTTGCTGTCAATGTTGCACTACCTGCTGCTGTTAAACTTGTTTCTTGTCAAAATGTAGTTGCTGTCAAACTGCAATGCATAAAACAGATGAAGCTGTCAAGATGAAGAAACCTGCACACTGAATACACATCACTCAGCAGCACACAAATTTGTCTATATCTAATCACAACAACAAGTCTGCGATTATGAACTTGCTGTTACACTAAACACATTCCAAAAAAAAACTTTGCTGCTGCTGTTTTGTTTTCATTGTGAGATATTGATGAGATATTGCTGCTGTCAAATCTGCCTAGCTGCTGTTAACTACTGCAAACCAGGAACAACGAATCTATCACCTACAAACAAGATTAAGCTGTTGTTTCAGTCTGCAAAGTGAAACAGTTGCTGTTACACTTTCTTTTTCTGTTGCTGTCTTCTTCTTGTTTCAATTAACAGGCTGTACTGCTGCTGTTCTGTTTGTTGCTGCTGCTTCAACACAGCACAGATCAAAACCTGTTAAACACTTTTTGTTTCAAAACTGTGAACTGTTACTGCTGTGAACCTGTCACTAAGAACAAACAAATCACAAACACAAAAACTGACCCTGTAACAAGTGAATCTTTTACCGACACTGTTCACAAACACAGCAAGTGAAGCTGCTGCACACTGCTCACAAAACAACTAATGTTGTTTTGAACAGCAAAACAACACTACAAACTGCTTAAAAAAATCTATTGATGTCCTCTTGTTCACACACTGTTTCTGTGACCTACTGCACGATATGTTTTAAACTGTTTCTTGCTACTGTTGCTGTCACCTGCACACTTCTGCTGCTGCTGTTCTTTGCTCAAAAACCAATAAGACTAATATACCTTCAAATCTGCTATCAAAACCTGTTATTGCTTACACTAAGCTGTCAAAATAAACAGTCTACTGTCACTTGAATCATCTCCACACCAACAGCTTTCGATTTTAAACTCAACAACAACAACCTGTTGCTGCTGTTAATACTTGTTGTTCTGTTGTTGCTGTTGTTAAACAGTTGCTATGTTCATGTTCTTAAAAAAAACAGCTTAAAAACAGCAACTTAAAACTTCAAAACAGCAAAACCTTCAAAACAGTGAAATTGATGCTGAAACCTGTCCTGTTGTTGCTTCTGCTCAAAATCCCGAAGTCCTTCTTTCCAAGATTGTGTGATAAACAGTCCTATGAACCAGTCCTCAAATATATTCCAGAACATTAAAATCAAAACAGCAACGTAAAACCACAACAATTTCAAAACAAGAAGTTCAATATCATTGTAAAGTGCCTGTGTAGCTAAATGAGTTTCAAATTTCTTCTTGGCTTTCAAGAAATTTCCAAATCAGATGAATTACAAATTGTATTATTGAATACCAAACATCAAATCCAGACAAGCTTTCTGTTGTGCGATAAACCACATAAACTGATGATCAACTTAAAAAAAAACAGATTATACAGATCAATTTACTTTGAGCGATTAAGAAACCGGTGAAATTGATTGAGCGGTTTAATAAACCGGATAACTTGATGCACAAAAGTTCATCCTAAAAAGTTCACAAGTCCGCTCAAAATTGAAAGCTAAAACTGACCTGATTTGAACGAATCCGATGAAATAGTGTGAGGTTTAGTGTAAACCGCTCAAAGTTGTGAAGAATCCGCTCAAATGGTGACCGGTGTAGATGAATACCGATCAAAGCGTGTCCGGTATAGATGATTATAGGATGAACACCGCTCAAAAATTAAACCTAAAAAAAAATCAACTTACCTGCAATCGTCCGGTGTACCTCTCCGTTCAAGGAATCCGATTAAGCAGTCTCCGGTGTTCTTCTTATCCGCTTAAGCTTCACACGGTTTATATGAATACCGCTTGTCTTCTAATCAAATTAACACACGGTTTACATTGAAACACAACTTGAATTCTTGAAGATATACCGTTCAAAAAAATGGGCCAGGGAAATGGGCTTAAAAAAAATGACTTGGGCTTTAAAAAAATCAGGCGGATTAACAAAAAGTAAAGAAAACAAAATTAAAACCAGATCAAACACTATCAAAAACACAAAAACAAAAAAAAATTTGACAAAAATTGGATCAAAAACACTGGTTTACAAAAAAAAATTAAGAACACAAAAAAAATTTAAAACACAAAAATCCGATTGAATCTTGATAAAAGTTGACCAAATCACAAAAATTTGTGAATAACAAAGTTTCACAATGCAATTTCGAGCATTTTGATCATTTTATAACATGAAAACACAAGATTTTTATGATAAAATCGGATCAAAATCAACAAAAAAAT